CAGTCTAGACACAGCCTGAGGGTTTTTCTGTGGCTCACCCATTAGACTGGGTATTACAGTAAAAAATGAACCCCTTCCAGGGTAGCACACACTCACCAGAGTTGGAGTTCCCTGTAAGCTGGGAGCTTGTGCAGCCTCTCAGGAGAGATTCAAATTCCACCCAGATGATTAGCAGAGCACCCACAACTAGGTTTTGTTTCTACTGGTGGCACACATTTGCATATGCCTCGGTGCACATAAGTTTTATTCCACACATGTATGGAAAAGATAAGAGGGAACATTGGTTGTCAACACTGATTCTAGGCCCTTTAAATTCAGTCCTGCACTCAGGCTTCTAAACAAGCCTTCTCCAAGCTTAGGCCACTTCATCAGTGGCTGGTAGTAGTTCAGGACAGTGATACAGTAAATTGAGGATTCACTGGTGTGGCCTCCTAACAGGTCTCCTGCTCCATCAGTGATGATAAACATTCAGCTGTGTGCGTTTTCATATGCTCCCTCAGTATATCCTGCCAGCTCTGCGCAGGTAACTAGCATCATAGACTTCACGAGAACCCCCCCCAAAGACCACAGACTCAGATGAGATACGAAGGCACCTGAGACACGTTTATTGTCGAACAAAGTACATTAATAGTTGTCAGTAGCCAGATGGCCTCCGAGCCCCTACGTATTTGTACCTGGGACAATGGACTCAGCTCAATCAATAGTATGGATTCCACTATCACCCCCTAGGCCAGCCAAAGAATTAAGTTGAGGTACCCCAATATTTATAGACAGAAATGAACAATCTATGATACACACTGTACATATTATCTCGCACATTAATGACATGTTTTGTATGCCCCCTTGTACTTTCCTCCAAAGCATTCCCCACCCATTGTTATGCTTTCACTCTTGTTGTTTCAAACTATTTTATCATGTACTCAGCTGGGTGTCCCTATACTGTCCTGGTGGCATGTATTTACATACTTCATGTGCTTCTATTCATGCTAGCAGTTCTAGTGCTGAAAGACACTGACTTGCAGGCAAACATTTGCTTTTGACACAGCCTGTCTATTACTCATAGTATAACTCTTGCTTACTTTGGTTCAAGCACCAGGCCTATGCTTAGGGCTCTTTCTTTCTCCTACACCAACCTGTGAGAAGTTCCTGCCCCTATTTCCTTGTATTAGTACCATACACCCATGCTTGGGCTGTGTCCCACATATTTATTGTTCACAACTCCAGTCTCACTCGGCTTTCCCTGAGGCTCTAGCACCTCTCAGAGTACTCCTCGCCTTCCCCACACAGGGTGGGGAGTAGGGGGACCCAGGCCCTCCCTCACCTCCGGGTCCCAGCCCAGGGCCCTAGGGAGGGGGAGATCTCTCTCGCCACCTCCTGTGGTCAGTGGGGACGTTGCCTGCAACACACTGACCCACGGGCTTTAACACCCTGCCTTGGGCTTCTTCCTACTCACTTCGTCTCACTCTGGGCTAACACGTCACAGCACAATCGCATCCCCCCCAGACTCACTTCCCCGGAGGCGTTCAGCCCCCTGGAACCCGGGCACTCCCCAAGCTCCCTCCTGGGAGGTTGGCCCATTTTAAATCCCGTGCCCTTGGGGTTGCCCCACCCCCAAGGCACTTCCCCGCCGGAACCTGTGCCCCCGCCCTCTGCCACGATAGGCGGGTTCCCCCCATGGGTACCTGCGGGCGCTAATGCGCCTGCATCTGGCCATGGCGCCATTCCCCTGCTGGGACGCCAGAGTGCGCATCCTGGTCCCACTGCCGCCGGAGCTTCTCAGGGAAGTCGGCGTTCCCAGGCACTTACTGCCCAGGGGGG